AGGTGATCAAAGGCCTGAGCATAGAAGGTATCTGTGTGCCCAGGGAAGAGAAAATTGTCCCCATGGCAGGCCACCAAGGAATGTGGCTGGGTAGCTCAGCATGGGTTAGATCACGAGGGCTCTCAAGGGTGACCTTGGGAATCTGAATTTTACCTCCTGGGTGTTAAGAATTTCCTAAAAGTTTACTGGGTAGATCAAATTTTGAAACAATAAGCTAATTTCCTTTACATCTTCTTGTAACTGCTTTGTCATCATATTGTCCAACACTTCTGCACATTGCTGGGGTGGGCGGGATCAACTAAGGGCCTGTCCTAAACCAAGTCCTATCTACAAAGTGATGACCCAGCTAGATTATGTTTCATGAGTGATCACCCTCTACAGCACAGTGTTATTACATCTCCACCTTTAAAACAGGACCAAGTATTTTCATCATCTATTTCCTCAATTTGAAAGGGAAAGAAAATTAACCTGCATTTTTCCTTATTGCCATATTCACTAAGAAGCTCTAACTAAGCAGCTTGGATCAGAGAGCTGTTCTTATGCAGCTGGGGTTTTGTTTGTTTGTTTGTTTCATTTTTGGAGCACTTATTCAATTTTTATTATTTTTTAATGTTTATTTTTGAGACAGAGAGTGAATGGGAGAGGGGAGAGAGGGGGAGGGGCAGGGAAGGGGAGGGGCAGAGAGAGAAGGAGACACAGAATCTGAAGCAGGCTCCAGCCTCCAAGCTGTCAGCATAGAGCCTGACAAGGGGCTCGAACCCACAAGCCATGAGATCATGACCTGAGCTAAAGTCTGATGCTCAGTCGACTGAGCCACCCAGACCTCCCCTCATTGGAGCACTTATTCAAATTGAATGGAAGCCCATGTGCCTTCTTAGATAGTTAGAAAGGGAACATCTTAGCCATCAAGCATTGAAGAGATCTCTAATCCAACACCACTAGTGAAGTGTCTAAAATGTCAGTCACCATGTAATGGAAATTTCAAGAGCATGTTCTCTATGCCTAACAAACTCAATAGAACCCATGGGGAATTTGATTGTGAATTGAAATCAAAGGATTGGAAGAAAAGTGGCTTGATGTACTTTTGAGGTTCAGGGAATAATGATCTCATGAATCAGCCATTAGTTCTCTCAAAGATAAGTCCACTGCATTTTGACTATAGTGTACATATTTATGAACCATACCTATATGTCACATTCTCCAGCATCAGTTATAAAATGTCACTCTGCTGTTTAGCTCACACCCAAATTTCTTTTTTACTAGGAAAAAAAATCATTAATTTTAAAAGAAAAAAATTAGAGAGAGTGTAGAAGAAAATTGGAGACATCCAATCCTAAGGTCTCCTATTCAAGATGTGACACTATCACACTGAGGAAATGTTTTGAATGCAATTCTCAAACACTAGTATGAGCAACAAGAGAACCAAAATCCCTTTCTTCAAAGAGCTGATAATAGATAATTACCAAAGGGATGAGAACTATTTAAAAGAGGTATTTAAAAACAAAAAATAATAAATAAAATGAGGTTAACAAAATAGAGACTTTTTTGGCTTCTCTAGCTAGTGGGTTAAGAATGGCTTCTCCAAGCAAGTGAGAATGGAATTAAACCTGAATAGTAAAAAGACACAGCCATGTGAAGATATAAGCTGAGAGTGAGCCAGGTAGAGAGAAGAGCAGATGCAAAGGCCCTGTGGGAGAAACAAGCTTGGGATGTGCAAGGACCACACACCCACAACCAATGAGGCTAAAATATGCAGGGAAAGGGGAGAATTGTATGACAAGAGATTGCAGAGGTGTGTCCGGTTTCTCTTGTTCACTGCTACAACCAAGAACCCAGAACCATGTTTGGTCTATGATTGGTACTGAATAAATTTCTGTCAAATGAATGAATGAAGTTAAAATTTGAGTTAGACTGTCTCAAAACTTCCTTCAGGGCAGGGACCAGAACATGTAGGAATTTGCAGGTCAGGGTTAGAGGAGTTTGGATTTTATTCTAATCATAAGGGAAAGTCATTGAAGGCTTTTAAGCATGAGAATACTGTGATCTGATTTATGCTTTAAAAACATCATTCTTGCTGCTGTGTGGAGAATAGATTGTAGATATGCCAAATATCTTCCATTGCTCCTATAGGTCCACTCTACCTTTCCACCTGTGTCTCAGGAGGCTAACCTAGATAGACTCTACACTCTGGCTTCTAGTTGTGTTCAATCAATGGCATGTTCAGCAGGCCATCAGAAGGAGAGAGAAGCTGTCTTCAAATTGAGTATGCCATCTATATGCTACCAGGACCTATTGAGAGAACTAGAGACTGGTTAGGAAGCTTTGTAGTAGTTTACATGAGAGATTATGATAGCCTAATTTATTATTTGTGGTGGAGGTCAAGTTTACTTATTTTGGAGGGAAATCTGACAGTATTTGCTCATCGATTGAGTGTCAGGGAAGAGGTGGTAAGAAAAGGGAAATGCTCAAGGGTTTTTCCCATGATTCTGTCTTAGATATGGCACCTTCCAAAAAATGGGGAAGACTGAAAGGAGAGCAAATTTGGGACAAGGTTCGAAGGGCAAGATCAAAAGTTCCATTCTGGGGGCGCTTGGGTGGCTCAATTGGTTGGGCGTCTGACTTCGGCTCAGGTCACGATCTCACGGTTGGTGGGTTTGAGCCCCGCATCGGGCTCTGTGCTGAAAGCTCGGAGCCTGAGGCCTATTTCAGATTCAGTGTCTCCTTCTCTCTCTCTGCCCCTCCCCCGCTCACGTTCTGCCTCTGTCTCAAAAATAAGAAAACATTAAAAAAAAAAAAAAGTTCCATTCTGGACATAGTTAGGTCAAGATGCCTATTTGCATTTAAGACAAAGAGGAGAGGTCAGAGCTTAAGATTTGAATTTTTGACTCATCAGAATAAACTTTTTTTCCAGACAGTTACATGTTGAACAAAATTGCATAAAGTTCATAGAAGAACTTTAATAACTCATAGAATACAAAGACCTGTAGAGGACACAGTCCCTACCTAAATTTGGAAATTTTTAGGAATCAGCAATTCACATGGTTAGTTGTCTAATTATAAAAGAGCCCTAAGAAGGGCTGAATGATAATGGTTATAACTAATCTGATGATGGAATAACTGGTTGGCTAGAAATGAGACTTTAATAGAAATAAGAGAAGACTGAGCCTAAGAGGTCATGAAAAGGGCTATAAAACCAAATTTAAAACATTGGTTGTCTGTAATAGCAAGAAGGCATGTTTTAAGCAAATGGAACTCTTAGCCACTAATTTAAATTTCCCCCAACCACCAACTTCAATTCCACAAATATTTATTGAGAATATTTTTGCAGGAGGCACTGTGCTGGGCAGTGTGGGTACAAAATGCATTGAAGAGGTAAGCTGAACTTCTACCAAACGATAACTAAAAAGGTTTGCTTCTGCAATAAATAAAAAGGCCAGGGAGTCATCAAAATGAGCCAGATCAGCCTAAGTCCTGCCCACTCACAACTTGAATCATGAGCTCTAAGGCCATAGATTGTTCCTTAATTAAGGTAAAACAACATGCTAAACAAGCCCTTGGAAGGAACTGTTTGGATCTGTAATGAATAATAACAGGCTGCAGACCACTTCCTACAGCACAGCCCATTGAGCATAGACTCCCATAAGTTCTGAGAGGCCACTGCTGCAGCCAGAACCACTCCAGCAAAAACTCTCAGGTCTGTCCATCCGGGACTAACCTCCCAGCGAGCCCAAGGGCAGCAGGTATAAGGAAAAGGACTATTCTTGAAGAAAAAAGAGCACTCTCTAGAGCTTTGACAGGAAAGTAGCCCGGCAAAGAGTAGCCACTGGGAGCTAATCTAAAAATGACAGAAAACCCAAAGTCACAATGGCTTCAATAAGAAAGAAGAGTATTTCTCTCTCGTATAAACAGGCCATCCAGGGCCCATGTGGTGGCTTCACCATCAGGAACACAGGCTACTTCCATCGATTTGCCTATCACCATCCAAGATGGGAGGTTAAAAGTTTAGACCTGATGTTCAAATTCCAGCCAGCAAGGAGGAGAAAGCAAGGAGGTGGGAGGGGATGCCATACTCTTTCGTGGTCATTTCTCTGAAATTGCACATAACGTTGCCATGTAAATCCCATTGGCCAGCACTTAGTAATAGACCCATGTGCATCTTCAGGTGAGATCAACAAATATAGTCTGTATGCTGAGAAGTCATGTGCCTAGCTAGACATGCTAAAAATTGGGGGTTCCTTTACTATTGCAGGGGAGGGGGCTACTGGGATAACAGCCAACAATAAATAGCACAGGGGCCTCCCTTTCCCTTCATGCAACTGAACTGTAACTATTAAGTTACATGTAAACAATGCGTTTTACTGGGGTCCCAGTGAAAACCATTAAAGTAGGACTATTTTCCTATATCCCAAATTCCAGTGGCTCTAGCTCCCACCACCCTAAGAAATCACCAGTCCTACAAGAGGACATCCAGGGCAGTTCTTCAGAAAACCAGGTTTTCAATCTTATGTCCCTCCAATAGGGTAGAGTGGATGTTCACACTTAGAAGGAAAGAGCTGCCTTCTGTGCGCATTAATTCCTCCAGATTTAGACTGATGGCAGGAGCTCTCTTGTTCTTTCTGGAAGCTGCACAGATTATTTCACTGGGTCGTAAATATGTTTAACACCCTATTATACTAACCTTTCAAACCAGTTGTCTTGGGTTGCTGCAAATCATAGTTTAGGAACAACTTTCTATGATTTAAAGGCCCTTGACATTCCTGGATGCTGTAGTTAAATACTTGAAATTGAGATTGGAGGGTATAGATCCTGCTACACAATTCATTTCAAGGAAAGGAAACAAAATCCTTTGGGCTAGTTCTTAGCTTTCCTTCATTTTCTTTTTCTTTTGTCCATTTTTGTTTTTTATTTTGTTTTGGTAATCTTGACTCAGCCAAGGCTAATCATTGGCAGTCAAACATACTGCTGTCCTACGTTAGGATGACGTTCTCTTCTGTCCCCAGTGTTCCAGGACCTGCGGAGGTGGCATCCAGAAGCGTGAGGTCCTTTGCAAACAGCGCATGGCTGATGGCAGCTTCCTGGAACTCCCTGAGACCTTCTGTTCAGCCTCGAAACCGGCCTCCCAGCAAGCCTGCAAGAAAGATGACTGTCCCAGCGAGTGGCTCCTCTCCGACTGGACAGAGGTATGTGGGCTCCTCAGAAGGAGATCATGAAAGAGGTGTAAGGAAGAAAAGCAGCACCCCAAACTTACACATACAGAAGATGAGAATAGGACAAAATAATCTTATTTTGGGACAGATTTTTGTAAGCAAGTGTTTTTAACTAGGCTGCAGGGATGTGAGGTAAGCAGCCAGCCCTGACTCAACAATCAGAAGCGTGGAATTGTAAACGGGCTCTTCGTGGAACAAAACCAGGCCTTGTTTGGCCCAGAATCCTTCTCAGAACGCCGCATTGTTCTACCTTTATCCCCACACCCACCTCCCCGATCTCCCGGCACCTCCTCCTCCCAGATGTTTCTAGTCTCCACTCAGGAAGGGCAAAGCCTCTCTAGTTATTCCCTTCCAAGTTACTAGACAATAAGGAACATGATTTATTAAGAAGAGAAGGCCAGGGAAATCCTGCCTCTTTACTGTCAGTTTCCTGGCTCTAAGACGTTAACAATTTCCCAGCAAGAGAACTTGATTTCCCCTGTTGCTTGCATTTGGGGGGATGATTACATCAGCATCCACTATTCCTGACTTGCCTCATAAGTTAGGGATATACCCCCAACTAACCTCCTTTTCTAAATAGTTCCTACTCCAACACTAGCATCAATTAAGTCATTTACACCTACCTTCAACTTGTTTTCAGCCCCTACGACTACTGTGAGTTGCCTACAACTCCCTCAGCTTCCTAGGCCTGTGTGTCTTCCATAAAAAAAATCCCCCCCAAAGTATTGCCTCATAAGCAAGAACAGAATGTAGCCAAGAACAGAATCGCCAGGCCCGAAGTGAAAATCTTTGCATCAAGAGCAGATGCAAGACTGCGCCCTTTCTTGCATATAAGCATTTGAACTGGCCTTGCTGATCCCGTTGCCTTCTCTGTGTGTTTGTGTGTATACATGTGTGCATGTATGTTGTATGGATACACAGGATGGAGCTGCTGCTGGCTGAAATATATCCCAGGGACACTTCCTTCCACAGAGCGAAAAGCTGTCTCTGGAAGTTTAGATGCCACCTCTTTCAACCTATGTTCTTAGAATCCTTGCCCCTCATTGAATCCACTCATACAGCATTCACTCAGATGGCTATCTGCTAAGAGCACTGTAATTTTGAGGTAACCTACACTCCCGTAGGTTTTGTCATTTGGCGATAAATTGCCTTCTGGTGGCATCTCACCCCAAATGTCGCAGAACAGGAGTAGGGCATGATTATTTTTTTTCAAATCTTAGAAACAGTTTTCTTTCACCAAGATAAAGGATTAGAAGCATGTCAAATAAGTGTATGTGTTTGTGTGCACACACATGTGTGCATGCATGGACATGTTACTGACAGTTGTTCGATGGAATGTTGATTTGGGACTATGGTATTCTATCTGAAAAAAAAATCATAACAAAACTAACAGTGCAGGAGTGTGTAGTGATGTCATTGCCAAGTACATGGCTCTGGATGAAGACCTCCTCCCAGGGCATGTTGTGAAAGGTGTCCTCCTACAAAGTCTGTTGGTGATAGTTGCCATGAGCGGGATGCTGAGGAAGGGACGTGTATGTGCTATAATTGTGTTCCTGTGTTCCTGGAGTTTGTGGCCTCTGAGCACATGGGACACACAGAATTCAGAGAAAATTCTTTTAGGCCCACACATTTGAAGCAGGGACTGTTGTGATTATGCACTTAGAAAGGAAACTGCTGAACTAAGGTCCTCAGGGTCCCATTAAGTATAGCAGACATACTTTTTTTTAAAGAGAGCTGGTGGGAGAAGGGGCAGAGAGAAAATATTAAGCAGGCTCCACACTCAGTGCAGAGCCCAACGTGGAGCTAGATCCCATGACCCTGGGATCATGAACTGAGCTGAAATCAAGAGTCGGACGCTCAAATGACTGAGCCACCCAGGCACCCCAAGTATAGCAGACCTTTAGAGCAGTGTCATGTGTGCTTAGGAGTTAGACTCACAGATAGGCAAACTTAGGTTCTAATCCTGACTCTGCCACTTACTGGCTCTGTAACTTTGGGCTATATAACCTTTTTCAGTTTGTGTATATGAATGTTGGAGATAATAATGTCCCCCCATATGGTTATTGGGAGGCTTCAGTTAAATGATGCATATAAACTACTTTGTGCCTAGTAAAAGTTAACCCTATTATTGTTATGATTCTCTTCCATCCCTGCTCATGGTCAGGAGGAGAGTAAATAAAAGAAAGTACTTACCTTGACTGGCCAGACTCAGGGTCATTGCCTAGGCTTCCTGTGGGCTTTACTAGTCTTCCTGGGAAGAAGTAGTTACACTTTGGGAAGTAGGGCTACTTAGCCCTTATCCCTTGAATGTTATTAGGTTCCGAGTTATCTGGGTTGATGAATGGAAATTCCAAACACTGGGGAGGGGCTGGGAATGGTGGAAAATAATCACCAACTCACTGGGATTAAACTCAAGCTGGTGCCACACAACAGTGCTCCCCGGGGGTTTCACAGAGGCTCCAATTGGCCCTGTCATCCCAACAGCCCTTGCGTTGGCCCTCTGGCTGAGATGAAACATACATTCCACATCCCCTGCCCCCAAGCCTCCCCTTGGAGAAAGGAAGACCTGGATGATCTATGGGTGTTTTTCATCCTCAACTATCTGGACTCAATCTCATAGTTACTGCACAGAATCCCTCAGAGACAGAATTAAGCCAAAATTTTAGACACTTCAAATAAAATTACTTTCAGATTCTATTCTGAGAATAAGACCTCTTAAAAGGCCTTACTTCTTTCTTTAAAAGAATTCCTTACATCTCTTGAAAGAGTTGGCTATTATATATTTTTAAATTATATTTTTATGAAAGTCATTCCCCTCCCCAAAATATAAAAGGAATTAAGGTCAGAACAGTCCCTTTTAGAGCTAGAAGGAACTTAGAAGATTCGATAACTTGGTTGTTCTTCTCAAACCTGAAGCCACAAAACCCTTTTTTCAATTGAAATGTTACCGTGAAGCCAAGAATCTAAAACAGATAAAATCAGAGCTGTTTTCATTGAAGTGTGGGTTAGGGTCCCAGATCTCCATAGACCAGGTCTCCAGATCACTGGAAAAGCCCCTGAATCACTTCCTCCGTGTAGAACAGGGTTTGAAAATCCCTGCTCTTGCTTAATTTTAGTTTAGAGTTATGGAAATTGAGTCTCAAGAAAGAACTAGACTTGACCAAAATCATAAACCAATCTTTGGACACACAGTCTATTTTTCTGCTTGGCAGCCCTAAACTGACCATGCTTTAAAATTTTCCAGGCTCTTTGCCTCCATCCCACCTGATCCCGGGATTTGGTACTATCATTTACAATAAAATAAGGGATGGGTGGAATCTGGAATCCACGATCACCAGGGAACAAAAGCAACTGGGTATGATTCTTACATCCATGTTTTACGTCTTAACTGTCTTTCAGGCTGGCATATATCACAGCCTATTGCATGGAATAGTTCATTTCAGTGGGTTAGCATATAAACCTTGAGAACATAAGATGATATTTTTTTTGCTTTTAGTGTTCATTTTTCAAGTTAACGTGGCACACTGCCATGACCCTAGTTCAGGTCTTTATCATCTCAAGCCTGGACTACTGTGGCGGCCTACTTAACTGACATCCCCACCTCCCATAGATCTCCTACTCCCAACCCTCCTGGACACTGTTGCCAGATTAACCTTCTCAGAACACCTCTTTCATCATTTCACTCCTCCCTTCAATTGCTCCTCATTGCCTTGTGGACCAATTCCAAACCTCCTGTCTGAAAATTAAAAGTCTCTAACGTCTGGCCCCAAACTACCTCATGAGCTCCTGATACTCTCAACTTGTTGCCTCTGTTCAAACTGGCTTAGCTCTGCCCCAGGCCTGCCTTGGGTTTTTGCACAGAACCCTTTGACATTTGTTTGGATATTCCCCTGCCCTCCATGCTCATCCCAGGGTTCTACACCCCTTCAGACTACCCATCTTCAAAACCTAGGCCATGAAATCACAAGTGTACCAGCAGCATTCGACAGTTGTGAGCATTAATTTCATAATACTTTTAGTCTTATATTTCTACTAAATTCTTTTATTACTTTCTAATTCTTTAAACAGCTTTATTGAGGTATAATTTACATACTATAAAATTCAACTGTCCATTATGTTTCCAAGTTTTATCTGTTTACCACATATTCAAGAGACCAACATTCCTTTTATGATATAATAATATTCCATTACAATAAAGAAGATGTGGTATATACATACAATGGAGTATTACTCAGCAATCAAAAAGAAAGAAATCTTGCCATTTGCAACTATGTGGATGGAATTAGAGGGTCTCATGCTAAGCGAAATTAGTCAGAGAAGGACAAATATTATATGACTTCACTCATATGAGGACTTTAAGATACAAAACAGGTGAACATAAGGGAAGAGAAGCAAAAATAATATAAAAACAGGGAGGGAGCAAAGCATAAGAGACTCTTAAATATGGAAAACAAACAGAGGGCTGCTGGAGGGGTTGTGGGAGGGGGGATGGGCTAAATGGGTAAGGGGCATTAAGGAATCTACTCCTGAAATCATTGTTGTACTATATGCTAACTAACCTGGATGGAAATTGAAAAAATAAATAAATCACTTAAAAATAATAAGATTCCATTACATAGATATACCATATTTTTACTGATCCATTCACCAGCTGGCAAACATTTGAGCTGTTTCCCTTTTTGTCTATGCACTTTTGCATACAAGTCTATGTGGATGTACATTTTCACTTGTCTTGGATAGTTACCTACGAATGACATTTCTAGGTCATAGGGTATTTTTATGTTTATCTGTTTAAGAAGTAAATCAAGCTGTTTGTCAAGAAGACTGTAGTATTTTATATTGCCATCAGCAATATATGAAGATTCTAATTTTTATATCCACACTCATAGTATCATTTGTTATTGTCTGTCTTTTTAACTATGGCCATTTCAGTGGGTAGGAAGTAGTATTTCATTATTGTTTTGGCTTCTATTTCCCTAATACAGTATTTCATTTTAGCAATGAATTTGCATCGCCCCCCGTTGTTGATGACAGCTTCTTGAGGTTACAAACCACCTTGCACATTTTTTCCATAGTATCTAGCACCCCACCTCAAACAAAGTACATGTATAACAATTACCTCATGCTTGACATTAAAATACTACACTTGTGAAGGAAGGAGAAAAAATTAGCATTGAGTGTCATTTCTGTGTGTGAAATTTAAAATACATTATCTCATTTAATTCCCAACCTTGAAAAATAAGTCTAAGAAGTGGAAACAGACTCTGAGTTGCCACTGCCAAAATCCTGAACACAGGACTCTATGACTCTGTAATGCTAATGGCCAGGCCATATAAGTAAAAACAGATAGAGTGTCTATAGGAAACTTTAGAACAGAAAAATCTTAGAAGGGTCCCTGGGTGGCTCAGTCCATTAACTGTCTGACCCTTAACTTTGTCTCAGGTCATGATCTCATGGTTCGTGATTTTGAGCCCCATGTCAAACTCCTCACTGACAGTACTGAGCTTGCTTGGGATTCTCTCCCTCACTCTCCCTCCCCCACTTGCACATGCACGTGCTCTCTCTCCCTCTCTCAAAATAAACTTTTTTTTTTAAAAAAGGGAAAAATCTTAGAGTTAGCATGAGGTTACAGTATAGGCAGTCTTCCCACATTGTGACATAATTAATATTTCTCTTGGGGCACCTTGGTGGCTCAGTTGGTTAAGTGTCTGACTTTGGCTCAGGTCATGATCTCACAGTCCGTGGGTTCAAGCCCCGTGTCGGGCTCTGTGCTGACAGCTCTGAGCCTGGAGCCTGTTTCAGATTCTGTGTCTCCCTCTCTCTCTGCCCCTCCCACGCTCATTCTCTGTCTCTGTCTCTCAAAATAAAGACATAAAAAAAATGTTTAAAACATTTCTCTCACTTTTAGTGACTGTTGCTTTTCCGAGCAACTTTTCTTGTATTTGGGGGAGTTTGAGAGCCCATACAGAACCCATTAGCCTCTAGTTGCTTGCATTTACATGCATGTGACCTGTTTTTCTCCCCCCTCACCAGTGTTCCACGAGCTGCGGGGAAGGCACCCAGACTCGAAGTGCCATTTGCCGGAAGGTGCTAAAAACCGGGGTCTCAGCTATTGTCAATTCCTCCCTGTGCCCTCCCCTGCCGTTCTCTTCATCCATCAGGCCCTGCATGCTGGCAACCTGTGCCCGTGAGTATGTCAGAGCTCCTGGGTTGGGGACACAGAACCCACGTAGAAGCAGCTGTGGCCACGCAGTAGCCTTCCGTAAACCCAGGACCTGGTGGGAGACAGGCAGGCAGTAAAGCCTGAGGAGAGCCAGCACGCTGGTAAGCTCAGCTGGAGATGGAAAAGGAATCTTAATTACACGTGGCCAGGCGGAATTCTCTTCACTGCTGGAAAAACAGTTTGCGGGGGGCAGAGCAAAGTTCACTTGCTGGCATACAGAGATCTGGAAGCTGGAGTCAGCAGATTACTCATGAAGTCGAATGTTGTCCATGCTGGGGTTTTAAAATGCTCTCAACAGATTTGTTCTGTTTAATATGAATCCCTACAGTTGTAACACTTCTGGGCTCTTCCCCCTGCCCCCGGCCCCACCCCCAAGGACACAAGGGTCTTGGTGCTTTGCAGACCCCAAAGGGTGAATATTTTCCTTCCCTTTGTCCGCTGCCTCTTTTTATGATGCTTTTTTTTTTTTTTTTTAATCCTTCTAATGAGAGGAACTGCCTTTTCCCTGGGATCCCCCTACATCTAGAACTTACTAGCAAGTCCCAGCAGGGTGATAACGGGTTGCCCCACCGCCCCTCATTAGTTCAGAGTTTTGACTGGGCGGCAGCTTGATGGTCCACAGCTGGTGGCCACTTCCTCCCGGGCAACCCTAAGGCGGTAAATGAAGGCGCTGGCCAAGATTAACTCTGAAGCCGCCTTCTCTCCCTCTTCCCTTTTTTGTCCCTCGTCTGTCTTTCCCTTCGCCCTCTCCTGTCCCCACTCTTGTCCCTGTGTTCGCTCTCGTTTTCCTCTGCCACTCCCTCTATTTCTCCCTCTGTCTGGCGTCCCGTGCATTCCCTCTGTTCCAGGGCCGGGACGGCCCTCCACCAAGCACAGCCCCCACATTGCGGCCGCCAGGAAGATCTACATCCAGACCCGCCGGCAGAGGAAGCTGCACTTCGTCGTGGGGGGGTTCGCCTACCTGCTGCCCAAGACCGCCGTGGTGCTGCGCTGCCCCACGCGGCGCTTCCGCAAGCCCCTGATCACCTGGGAGAAGGACGGCCAGCACCTCATCAGCTCGGCACACTTGACCGTGGCCCCTTTCGGCTACCTGAAGATCCACCGCCTCAAGCCCTCAGACGCGGGCGTGTACACTTGCTCCGCGGGGCCCGCCAGGGAGCAGTTCGTCATTAAGCTCATTGGCGGCAACCGGAAGCTGGTGGCGCGGCCTCTGAGCCTCAGGAGTGAGGAGGAGGCCCTCGCGCTGAGGAAGGCCAGCCCAAAGGAGGCCCTGCAGACCCACAAACACCAGAATGGAATCTTCTCCAACGGCAGCAAGGCTGAGAAGCGGGGCCCCGCCGCTGACCCGGGCAGCCGCTACGATGACCTTGTCTCCCGGCTGCTGGAGCAGGGGGGCTGGCCCGGGGAGCTCCTCGCCTCGTGGGAGGTGCAGGACTCCACGGAAAGGAACACGTCTTCCGAGGAGGACCAGAACGCCGAGCAGGCCCTCTGGCACCTGCCCTTCACCATGGTGACCGAGCAGAGGCGCCTGGACGACATCCTCAGGAACCTCTCGCAGCAACCTGAGGAGCTTCGAGACGTCTACAGCAAGCACCTGGTGGCCCAGCTGGCCCAGGAGATCTTCCGCAGCCACCTGGAGCACCAGGACGCTCTGCTCAAGCCGTCTGAGCGGAGGCTACCCCCGGTGGCCATCTCCCCTCACAAGCAAGTGTCTGGCTTCAGCAGCTCCCTCCGGACCACTTCCGCTGGGGAGGCCGGGGGCGGCTCTCGCCGGCCCCACCGCAAGCCCACCATCTTGCGGAAGATCTCAGCGGCCCAGCAGCTCTCAGCCTCCGAGGTGGTCACCCACCTCGGGCAGACTGTGGCCCTGGCCAGCGGGACGCTGAGTGTGCTTCTGCACTGTGAGGCCATTGGCAACCCGAGGCCTACCATCAGCTGGGCCAGGAATGGAGAAGAGGTCCAGTTCAGCGACAGGTGAGCCTTGCAGCTACCTGGGCTGGGAAGGGAGGGGGCAGGGGACCACGTCTCGCCCAAGGTGCTTTATTGGCTCTTCCTCCAAGGTGGGTCCAAGAGTGGGGCTCTGAGCACTGGGCCTCAGAGATGGCATCCTGGGTTTCAAGTCCTCTTTTAGCACCAATAGGGCTGTGGGAACAAAGACAAGGTATTTGGTTTTCCTAAACTGTATTCTGTCCTCTTTATAAGGTAATAGCAACAATGCCTACCCACCCCAAGCCCCATAGGGCCCCAAAGATTAATGAGATACTCTCCAGATAGCTTTGAACTTCTGGTAGAAAGATATCATTCCAAGCCACAGCATTATTACATTACCGATCTGTGAGATGGACAATTGAAAAGCTTATACGCCAGGATACTGTCTCCATGTGTGCGGTCCCCTAGGGTTGGGGGGAGGGAACAGCCAGCACCTGCTGCCCCCTGTGGGCGAGACCATCCTCTCTGGGCCGGACAAGGCTGTTTTTTCCAGAAAGCTTTTATTCCCAGTCAGACCTGTGATTAATTATCCTAATATCTCGTTGTGTCTCTGTTTTGATGTGTCATTACTAGGATGACGACATCCCTGTATTACTTACTGGTTTCCTTGGGCCTCAGCCATTCATGTAAAGTCAATAGTGGTGGTAGAAGTTAATAATAATACTTTAGACACCATGGGCCAAGAACTGTCCCAAAATTCCTGCACGTGTTCTCTCTTAATCTTTACAGTGGCCCTGACAACAATGATAGCTGGCATTGAGACACCTGCCAAGCAAATGTGGTGTCTGTGTGCTTTAGCTCACCCATTCTACCTCTAAGAAGTGGTTATGGTTTTTATCCACACTTTACAGAAGAGGACACAAATTCCAGGAACCTTTTAAAGATCATAGTTATTGGGTGTCAAAACCAAGACACGTGATGCAAATAAGCTCAGTCAATGGAAGTCAATCGAAGAATCCTGGACTCTGGGTCAGAGAGGATTCTTGGGACTCCTCTAGTCCAGAGACCTTGTTGTATATTTTATCTTCTCTGAATCCATGTAGAATGCTCTTCTCATTAAATATACTTCTAAATACTGTCATTTGGCAATCCTCTTCCCTAGTTTGCCAGCTTTGGGTAAGGAAAGAATGAAGCCAGGACTTATCATGCCAAGCAGTTTGCCAGGGTTCTTTAAATGTGACTGACCTTGTTATTCTAGCCATCAATCTACAAGATTGACAGTATCCCCTACTGTCACATAGAAAATCAAGGTTTACCAGCTCACCCAAGAAGATCATGTTTTTGGTAAGATCATGCCGGTCCAAGGACTCAAGATCAAGTTTATTTGAGTCCAAAGAGTACACCATGCTGTCTACTCTTCTGAGACTTGGTGAAAAAACATGACTTTGTCTAGCCTGCCCGCATCTTTTGCGCCTTTGAAAGGTCAATAATATTGCCTTTCAGCTTGACAGTACTTACAGACCAAACAGCTTTAATAACAACACTAAGTACTTTTTCCATGTTCTCTTCCTATATGCCAGACACTGTGCTCAGTGCTTTAAAGGCATTATCCTGTTTAATCTTCAAAAACAAAAAAAAAAAAAACCCTAGGGGATAGATACTATTGTTGTTACCATATCAACAGTAGGAAAGCTGAGGCACAGATGTGGGACCCTCACAGAAGCACTGGAGAGAGAGTTTGAATGCAGGCAGCATGCTTTGAGAACCTCTCCTCTTGTTTGCTTCTTACTTTCCCAGCTCATACTTTCCTTGATTGGGCTTGATTGCTACGATTCCTCCTGTGATTTCTTTCAAGAACTCTTTTACAACAAATTTTGGAGTCAGGCTAAAGTTGGAGTAAATCCCTTTGAGGTCACTGGGTCAGTGAGAGGGAGACCCAGTGTCAACCCCCAGGGATGGTGGGTGCAGGCGAAGAGTGGCGCCCTGGTGCTCAGTGGGGGGTCGGGGGGGCATGCTGGAACTCCTCCTTTTTAATGCACCTGTAACACACCACTGTGACAAAATCCTGCCATCTTCTCCACCAGCCAGTCAGCTTCTCAAGTTTAGTTACCATTTTATTCATATTTCTTTTGCTCTTGCCCAGAATTGTATTACTGGTATTGAAGAGAGTAGCAATTGGCTGTGCATAAGGCAAGATGGGAATCTACATTCTAACTATAAATGTAGTCCCCTGTGCCAGCAACTTTTTCATAGCCAACATCTTAGTTAACAACCACCATAGGGTGCAACATATGAGCTGTTACCCTTATTTCAGAGATGAGAAAACTGAGACCCAGAGTAGTTTAGGAGCTTGGCAATGTTAGCTAGATAGTAAAAGGCAGAATCAAGAAGGCAGATTGGAACCCACTTCTTCCCAACTCAAGCCCATGGTGTTTTGAGTGAATGAGTAAGTTCATGCTTCCACTCATCTGTACTTAGCTCAAGATGCTAAGTTGCCTCAAGACCCTTGCTAGTTTTTACCAGCAGTTTTCAGGGTCTCTTCTTCCTAAAAGCTGTAGAAAGATATGCTGTTGGGAAGGGGGAAAGGGGGAAAGGGGTCATCAGGACTTTGCTGTGCCTGGAACTCCAGGGAGAACATTGAGTCCATGGCTTATTCAGAGGTCATGACAATTTCCTTGAGTGCTAGAGATAGTTTCTATGAAGACCAAGGATCACAGCCCAGCTGGGTCACCTGGTGACTAAAGGAGGGCTCCAGAAGGAGTCAGATGAGGACTGAAGGCTTCAAGCTGATCTTTTCAAGGCCCTTCACTTTGTATGGCCTTACTCCCTTCACTTCAGAGGTGGGGAGGGTTAGGGCATCTGGGTGGCTTAGTCCATGAAGTATCCAACACTTGGTTTCAGCTCAGGTCATGATCTTGCAGTTCCTGAGCTCAAGCCCTGCACTGGGCTCTGGGCTAGTAGTGCAGAGCCTGCTTGGGATTTTCTCTCTCATCTCTCTCTGCCCTTCTCCTGCTCATGTCTCTGTCTCTCTCTCTCAAAAATAAATAAACTTAAAAAAAAAAAAAGAGGAAGGAGGAGAGGCTGTGTTAGATCATCTCTGAGGTCCCTTCTACCTCCTGCACTCATTTACAAAAGGCAACAGAAAATAAAAACCCATATGCTAGTGGGCAGCGGGAAGAGCCTTGAGCACAGTAACTTGAACCTTTGGTGCTGCTCTTTCTGAGCTCCACAAAATGGGGGTTCACTGATTGCATGAGCTTGGGATGTGTTCACTTAAAGCTAAACAGACGTATTTACTGCTGGATTTTACCTCTATTTTTTTTAATATAGTGCTTGATATTTTTTCTTGTTTTTATTATAAAAGTAACAAAGGGACTATAGAACAATTCAAATAATACCTAAATCTATAAAGTACAAATGCAAGTCTCCCTCATCCTCTCACTTCTGTTCCCCAGAGTCTGTCTCTCTTAATAATCTGGTATACATCCTTTTGGAATTTTTATATATTTTATTGTATTATATATAAAACACGTACATACACATGTGATTTGGTTTTTTAATGGGATATTACTCGTGTTTAGAAATCTGACGTGGTTTCTACTCAACAACATGTCTAGGAGACATTCCATTATAGTATGTAGAGATTCGTATCACCTTCTTTAACGGCTGATTACTGTTCCCAAGTGCATTTAACTATCCCCCAATTGAAAATTATTTTGGTTTTTCCATTTTTTTAACTCCTTTAAGCATTCCAGCATGTGCTGTGAATTTCCATCTGAACAATAGAGTGTGCATTATCTTCCACATAGTTCTTTGATCAATGAAGAAATTTTTGCCCTAGCCATCTCCAGGATACCAAGAGCTCTTGAAATACTACTTAGGAAACATTACTGTCACCTTTTAATTTTCACCTCCTTGGGGGTGCGCTTGGGTAGCTCAGTTGGTTAAGTGTCCAACTTCGGCTCAGGTCATGATCTCACATTATGTGGATTAGAGCCCCACATTAGGCTATGCTGAGAGCTCAGAGCCTGAAGCCTGCTTCAGATTCTATGTCTCCCTTTCTGTCTCTGTTCTTCCTCTGCCCATGCGTGTTCTCTCTCTCTCCTCTCCTCTCTCTCTCTCTCTCTCTCTCTCTGTCTCTCAAATAAACATTAAAAATGTTTAATTTTCACCTCCTTGGGTATTGAGAGTCTGACCCGAATGTCTTTAAGATGAAGAGGGTTCAGTGGAATTTTGCTAGGAAAAGACACGTGGCAGCCAGGTGCTAAGATACTAAAGGTGCTAGATGAAGACAGCAGAAGGCCAGACCTGGCTCTTCCAGCCACCAGGACGTTGGTAGGAGTGTGGGTGAGGAGTAGCATTAAGAGGGAAAGCACATGAGGAGTACAGACAAACAATTTTACAGTTTGGGCCACTTTCAAGACTCTTCTAGATCTAGCCTTGACAGAGCCTTCTGGTCCAAGTTTCCTTGCACACAACAAGGAAATAAGAGATTTTGGATTCTGATCTCTGATGTCATAATTTCTCCATTTAAGGTAGCTGGCCAGTAAGAAGTATGGCTGAAGCTTCATTTTCTGTACAGTTTTCCAAGTCCTGTTTGAGAAAAGAAAGTGAATATATCTGCACAGAGCACGCAGGAGGCACAGAGCCGCCATTGGGACTGCTTTGCTATGGGCTGTTGGTGACCTTTCTGTGTTGGGTTTCATTGCTTGTCATCATTCCTGTGTCCGGTAGCAGTTCAGAAATGCTCATTTATTTTCCAACAGAGACGTGCTGAAATGCCCGATGTTATAGCTCAGTTAGTCTGTTTTTACTTAGTACCAAATCCATCTTTCAGAAAGATTCTGCAAGATTCAGCTGGCTATTGGTCTGTGAGACTTTGCAGTGTATTAAAGTATGTTCTCGTAGCCTGAGCCAGCAAGATAGGTCAGGAGAGGAGGAAAGTAACTGAAGAGAAGTCTACCACATCTTTGTCTTTTAAATAGACTAGAGTGTTATCTGCAAGAAACTCCTTATATGAAAGAATCACTATCAACTCAGGTACT